CTGAGGAATATGAAGAGAGTCTGGAGCCTGGGACTGTGGATCACAGATGTTTGCTGCTGGGAGAGGAACTTGTTTCTGTTGGCTGCATTTAGGGTCATCTGAAAAAGGACCCAAAGAAGGGCACTGGCCTAACATACCTCCCCATAGTCACCCATACAGCATTCCCTGCAGAGATTGAACACACATGGTCTAACCTGCCCATGCCACTTAATTTTTCTGTTTGCTGGTACAAAGAGAGGAATAAGAAGATAACACTTTCTTTGTCAGTCTGTCTATACAGATTAGGAACTCTTTGAGAGCAGATCTTCTCTTAATGACTTTAAAACAAAGGCATCTTGCATCAACAGTAATGCTAAACCACACAGGAACTGTTTGGGTTCCCTTTTAAGGGGGGAAAAATAAAGCAAACAGCAAATGCCAGGAGTTTGCAATTAGCAGCTACTTGCAGTACCAGCAACCAAAGCAACCTACAGGAAAGCTCCCTCCTCTGACCACAGGACAGCTGCCAACCCACGGGAAAGAAGAGGTTTTGTGAAGGATCCTTCATTTTGACTTCCTGAATGTGCAAAAAGCAGCAAATCTTGGAATACAGTGAACCCATTTAAACAGTGTTTAGCAAGATAATTACAGCAGCTAATTGCCAAATAATAATAATAATAAAACATCTTGAAGTTTGTTAATGGATGGGTTGAAATACGTTAATTCTTAACAGATAGCAATTAATACTGGCTTGAGTATCCAATAAATTAAGAGACCTCATCTATTCTGTACTGCAGCCACATGATGACATTTTATGTGATGACAGCTCTGGCTGAGAAATCAGATATATCTGGAATTCTTTTATTTTTATGGGGACAGACAGACATGCTCAAGTGGGAGCTAAATGAAGTTAAAGCCCTTTTGTAAACAGTTTGCAATCCCTGTATTCATTAAAGTCAAAAGAAATTGTGCTCTTAATCAAGTCTTCATTTTAAAAGGATCAGAACTGGACCTCTCCTACAGCCCTTTCTTCTCTCCTCACTTTTCCAGTAATCACAGATCAAGCTTGGGTAAATTAAAGCCTAAATTTGGCTTTCTGTTTAATTTAGTTCTGTTCAGCTCTGGCCTTTGAGCCACAATATCATTTGCAAAGCATGACCAGGAGGTTTGAGAGTAAATTTTTTGCTGGTTTTCCTTTGGTCCATGAGGGTATTAAGCTTTTTTTTCTCACAAAGTTCTATTTGCATAAAATATATGTATTTGCTTGTACCATCTGAAGCTGACAGCATATAAACAACATACCAAACTCTGCAATAATTTCATTCCAATCTGAAAATCATGAATCTCTCCAGGCATGAGGGGTGTTTGGTTTTCAACACCATTGTTCAGGCAGTGTCATGTAGCTTCTTCACTGTGAAGCCAAATCAAAAAGCAGGCTATTCTAAGTTATATATTTATGAAAGTTCTTAGTCTCCGGGTCCTCGACATCACAATGTGTTACAGCTGACATAATCTCACATGGCACACCACTTCAAAACATTCCAACAAGGCTTTCTTTTCCTTCCAAAGAGCATAAGATTTTCTTTCTTCAAAGAAAAGAACACAGCTACAGAAATCATACATGGACAAAGCACTCCAGGAAAGCATCAGTCCTGGAATGAGGAAGAGCAGTGCCATGCCATCAGGACTGGGTTCTGTTTCACTGTCTGCAGCGCACACACATATGCCTTACCCCCAAGATGCAGAATGAACCGTCAAAGCCATCTGAAACCAAGGAAAGTCTATGAATGAGTTTGGAACTGTCACTACGATCATTTCTCTACTGTCACTGCTCTAAAAATGAGTATTTTCATACTGAAGCCAAAGTATGGTTGCAATCTGTTAATAACTGGGAGCAGAAGTTCAGCCCTTGCTCTGTAGTGGTGCTAAGAACTGTAGCCTCAGCCCTACGCTGCTTCCTGTGAGCACTGTCAATGTCAAGAAATGGCACATTACTGCTTCTGGAAGGTGTTATTCCCAACTGCTCCTGCTTGGACCTTGTTGGCTCAGATGGTCCATTTCTTTTTTGAAAATGTTTCCATTTTAATACAAGAGCACCAGCAAAGAGTGCACATTGGAGGGATGCAGCTGTTCCTCAGGCCGCAGCAACAGCCAGACCTTCACGCTTGAAATGTCTCCAGCATATTTATATCCTCTTGGTCGTCCACGTTTTAAATATCTCGTTTGAGCTGCTCAACCTCAAACATGCCTGTGTTTGACAAAAATCTAAATCTAATCTCCAAAATACCTAAAATACGAGGCAGTATTAAGTTGTTGGGGTTTTTTAATTTAAAAAGAATTCAGCATGGGAATAGATTTTCAAAGAGATAGTCTTTCTCTGAAAGGTTAGAGCAACTGAGTTGGGCTCAGATGCTGCCACTCTCTGAAATTAAAGGTTAAATTTAGCCAAAAAAGGGAAGCAGTGTCTTCCATCAGTGAGCATTCAATTGCAGTGACATAACAATGCCACAAGAGCAATTTAATTCTTGGCATACTTAGAGGTGGCATTAGGGAGTCTACCAAGGTAGCAATTTTCTAGATAATCAACTTAATGTCTTCATTCTAAGTGCATTTATATGTGTAAGTTAATTAGGGGAGTTAATTTTCACAAATGACAGGAAATCTGCATTTTCCAGTAAGCTTCATTTCATGCCAGTTCATGATTCAAGGTAGCTAAGAAAGATAACCTGGCATTCCTATCTATCACAATAACCAGCCCCCATCACAAGCAGACTTCATTTGTCAGCCTGACAGATGCACTGATGGGTTTCTGCTGCTCACACTGCCGAATCCAAGTACTTGCTGGGGGCAAAAGGACAACTTTCTCTACACCAGATTGCACAGTTGTAGAGTACTAATCGAAGCCCCTGTAAATCTGCAGCATCCACCCACACTACTTAGAACAGTCAAAGGGTAGAGAGGAAATTTTGCTGGTGAAAATAAGAAAATGGAAATAGAAACCAAGTGACCTTATTTGCTCTATCCAGCTCTCAGGCCTCAAACTAAGAATGTGGAGCTGTTGGACCAAGTCCAAAGAAGGCCACGGAAATGCTCCACGGAATGGAGCAGCTCTGCTCTGGAGCCAGGCTGAGAGAGCTGGGCTGGGTAAGCCTGGAGAAGAGAAGTCTCCTTAAGGAGACCTTAGAGCAGCTCCAGTGCCTGAAGGGGCTACAGGAAACCCAGAAGGGGGGGACTTTGGACAAGGGCCTGTAGGGACAGGACAAGGAGAATGGCTTGAGCCTGTCAGAGGGGAGATTGAGATGAGCTCTTAGGCAGAAGTTCTTCCCTGTGAGGGTGCTGAGGTGCTGGCACAGGGTGCCCAGAGAAGCTGTGGCTGCCCCATCCCTGGCAGTGTTCAAGGCCAGGTTGGACACAGGGGCTTGGAGCAAGCTGCTCTAGTGGAAGGTGTCCCTGCTGGTGGCTGGTGGTTGGGACTGGAGGAGCTTTAAGGTCCCTTCCAACCCAAACCATTCCATGATCCTACGATTCTTTCTTGTCACGTCATTTCCGAACAGTTAAGTGCACCACATTTTCGCAAGATCAGTGCAAATCCCTAGGGAACCAGGCTGAATATGGATTAAAAATACTGGCAGTAAATAGTTGGGATTGCAAAAATGCATCTCAAGGGGTGGCAAAATGTCTTCATTGCTTAAACAGAAGTTCCCTACCACAACCCCATTACAGGGCGCTGTGCTGTAGGGAAAAATGCTAGAAAGTAACTCAGCGGATGATTTCACAATTATCTCAAACCTTTATGCTAAAATTGTCCTAAAAGGATAAAAGGACACAGTGATATCTGGCCTCAGTGAAGCAAAAGGGAATTTTACCACATGCTTTAAAAAGCCCAGAATTTCAAACAGAGCCTGTAAAAGTTTAAATTACTCTGAATAGCCATGCTGCATCTCCAAATTTAGCAGGACTCTCTGAGTCCACAGCAAGTGCACGTGTATTAAAATAATGACTACTTTCCACTTTTTAAAAGCGTTAATGCCTTGGGTATTAAAAAGAAAGCATTTTTGTTGACTGCTTTTACACGTCTCCCTCTGAGGAGCTCTCAGCATCACTCTCTCCTGTCCTCCTTTCTGCTGGGCTTCCACATATCTTCCTCCTGTTTTCATCCCTGTTTTCATATTCGTTTTTATTTTACTGAGCAAAAGCCAACTCGAAGCAAAGACAGAGAACATGTGACAAGAGAGCCATTGGCACTTTAGATATCACTATGAGAGCAAATACAACTTTTAAAGCACAATTTAAACATTTTCTACCACTGGTGTGAGACCAAAAATCCACTTCTCTGCACCCCAGATCCTTCCACCCAAACAGGCTGAAACTCAGAGCAGGGAGGAAGGATTTTGCTCCTCGTGCACCAGATGAGAGATGGGAACGTGCAAACTCACACAAAGGCAGGAGGAAGCAAGGAGAGGAAAATGTATTTCTCACTGGCTTGTGTGAATGGAAACTGCTGGTCTGTACCCGCTGGTACAGACACAGTGGATTCTGTGTTGTGACATGCTGATCTGCCATTATGTTTTGTGGAGGCAATAGTGGAAGAAAGGAACATATGGAAACTTTGATTTCCACATTTACACTACTCCTGCTATCGCGGTTTTACATCCAACTATACTTTTCAATATGAAATTTAATTATCTTCTAAGCATTTATAATCCACCCATCGCTGCGGTAACCAGGTGCCAAATACAATTAAAAAGAATGACTGCTTCCATGAAAGGGCCTATTTCCTGGTTCTTCCCTCAAGGAACAGTGCTTGCTACATGTACAGGAGGGTGAGGACTTACAGGAAGGGAGCTTTGCTGGCATGCAAATACAGGTGACACAGGAACATCATCAGCTCAGTGCAATGCGTGTAATGTAGGCAGGTAGTGGAAAAGGGTCTGCATCCAGAAAGCAAACATGTCATTGGTAAAAGGATGTGTCTAGAATGTTATCTATTGCAAAATGCTAGTAAAATGCTTTTAACTTACTCTCACGTACGTGTTGAACTGCCCCACTGCTATCTCAAGACAGAAACCAGCACCTGTAACAGAAGGAAAGACAGTAACTTTAGATTTTGCTGAACCTTAGGGGAGACAATTTCATGTGCTTTGGCAACTTAAAGCAGCATACATATTTGCCTTGTAATTAGTCAGCTACTGGCTGCGTGCAGTAACAGCCTTTTGGATTTGTGGAGGAATCGTCTGGGCAGAAAGCAAGCAGCAGAGCAGCCAGCACCTTATTTTAAAGGAGTTCTTATGTATTAAGGTGATCAATTGGCAGGTGCCTCAGACATGCTGGAGGAGAAAAACAGGAGCTGGTACAGCAGCCAGCAGCCAGATGTACCACTGTTAGCATGGCTTTCCAAAGCCCCCTACCCTTTGGTTTTTCTAACATGGTTTCCTATCAAGCAAAATGGAATCATGACAAGAGAGGAAATAAAAGCAAGAGCCTGACACATTCAATGAGAAACTGAGAGCTACTGCTTTCTGACAGAGATGTAAAGCAGGAGGGATTGAAGCACTGTGTTAGGCTATTTTATGTATGAAATAAACATTTTTAAGCCATCTATTAACCTGTGTTAGCCTTCAATTAGATCAGCAACGCTTTGAGGAAAAGAACTGTTTCTGATGTATGCTTATACTGAATAATGAAAGATTGGCCCCCAGGTACTACAGCCCTATCAATAATAAACATTATTACCAAATAATAGCAATAAAGACTTGGAGTTAATATTTAAAATGGGCATGAGACCAAGAGCATGCCCAAGCACATTTCACGCTTATTTTAATTGCCACAAGACAAATAGAATGAGGATGGCTGTTCACTCAAAAGGGTGTGATTCTGTTTTTCTGAAGCACTCGCATTTTAGTGTGCTATTGTCAAGCCTATTTGGAGTAAATTGTGGGTAGAATTGCAATGAGAGATGTAGTTGCCTAGCAAAGGTCTAAGATTTCCATTTAAAATTAATGTGAACTGTTTCTCTGAATCTGACATATGGGCTATGAGAACCCCTGCCAAGATGTCAAGAGCTAGAATGCTCCCCCTCTAACTCCGAAAAAATGCTGGAGGCAACTTTCTCCTGGTATTTTGGCATTTGGCTCCAATGCAAAACAAAGAGACACAGAAACCCTCCTGCGGTGGAGCTGCACAGTGCGGTCAGCTCAGCCACAAACAGCGCGGTTGCTCAGATTAAACAGCAGCTCTGCTCCCTTGCACACCAGCGACTGCACTCACCCTCAGGGTGCCCATCTCCAAGAGGTGGTTCTGGGAAGCTCCTCGTCCTCTGCTCTTCAACGATCCCATATAATCTCCAGCACAACAATGCTGTGAGCAAAGCTCCTTGTCCCTTCAGATGGGTCAAATGGAGACTCAGGCACACGCTCCCCAAAGGCAAGCAGGCATCTGAGAAAGTTAAGCCCCTGCCAGGGATGGCGGTCAGGGACCATCAGAGCAGCACAAGGACCGCCAGAGCGTTTGGCTCTTCTGAAATGCAGATAGAATCAAGTAGGGTGGAGGAGAGCTTTAAGACCATTGAGCCCAACCGTTACCTCAGGACTGTCAAGCCCACCACTAAACCATGTCACTAAGGGCAAACTTATGGCTGCCCCTCATGATCTCCAGTCACAGCCGCCCCTCATCTGCCCCTCACAGTGGCCCCACACTATACAGCTGCAGCCCCTACCCCTCATGGCCACCGCTCATCTCCCCTCATGATCTCCCCTCATGGGCCCATGGCTGCCCCTGCTCTCACCTCATGATCTCCCCTCACAACTGCCTCATCTCTCCCCTCATGATTTTCCCTCATGGCCACCCATGCTTTCCCCTCATGATCTCCCATCACAACTGCCTCATCTCTCCCCTCATGATTTTCCCTCATGGCCACCCATGCTCTCACCTCATGATCTCCCCTCACAACTGCCTCATCTCTCCCCTCATGATTTTCCCTCATGGCCACCCATGCTTTCCCCTCATGATCTCCCCTCACAACTGCCTCATCTCTCCCCTCATGATTTTCCCTCATGGCCACCTGTGCTCTCCCCACATGATTTCCCATCTTGTCCCCTCACCATTTCCCCTCATGGCCGCCCCTCCTGTGTCCTCATGATCTCTCCACACAACCACCCCACCTCTCCCCTCGTGATCTTCCCTCATGGCCGCCCCTGCTCTCCCCTCACCCCTCATGGCCGCTTCTCCTGTCCCCTCACACCTCACAACCACCCCACCTCTCCCCTCGTGATCTTCCCTCATGGCCGCCCCTGCTCTCCCCTCACCTCTCATGGCCGCTTCTCCTGTCCACTCACACCTCACAACCACCCCACCTCTCCCCTCGTGATCTTCCCTCATGGCCGCCCCTGCTCTCCCCTCACCCCTCATGGCCACCCCTCTCCTTCCGCACCAACGCCCCTGGCTCTGGCGGGAACCGCTCTGAGCATGCGCAGATCCCCCCATGCCCGCCCGCTCCTCACGGCCACCGCAGCACCGCAGCACCGCAGCACTGCAGCACCGCAGCACCGCCGTACCCTGCACCCAGCAGAGGACACGGAACAGCCGCTGCGGCGGTGGTGACGGCCGCACTGTCTGCGGTGAGAGCGCCAGCTTGAAACCGGTGCCAAAAGGGGATCTGGGAAGCGCTCAGTTCTTACGGGAATGGCAGCCATGAAGTACCTCATGGGGCAGACAGATGGAGGAAAATTACACTCCCATTTAATCCCTTTCCAAACCTCTCAGCTAGTCCAAAGTCTTTTTGTTATGAATTTCTGGAGCCCTCAGGGTTTGATCTGAGCACGACTTGGCTGCTGGGTGATGATCGGCAGCAGCCAAGCCGGTGGGGTTCCCAGTGTGGTCCCCCTGCAGCTGCTGCTCACTCCATCACTGCCCCCACCATCATCCTAAACCCTCCGTCCTGCTCCGCTCTGGGCACTGCAAAGGCCTCTTTTCATTACGTCCTCTACAAATGGAGCCTGACATGGCCCTAATGTTCACAGCAACCTCCTCACTTCTTGTCCAAGAGCAGTAAAACAGTAGCACAAATGTGCCTGGTTTCCAGCCATCCCTTGGTCTGAAATGCAAACATTGCCTTTTACAGCTGAATCCATTGTGGAAGTGGGAGGAGAGGGAAAACTTAAATAAACAGAAAGATGAATCACGAGAAGAAAATCCCAGGAACGCTGCTCCCGTGATGGCTGGATGCAGAGATAAGCAAACCTCCGAACACCACAGCACCAGGGCAGAGCACACACAGCCTGTATAAACAGCAATGCAAGGGCACAGGTCCTGGAGAAGGAAACTATAAGGAGCTTCACATTCCTCTAAGACAGGAGAGCATCCAACACAGGGTTTCTTTTGCTCCCTGTAGGAAGGGATGGTGCTAAGCCATCAGCCATGGACCTCCCAAACCCTCCATCTCTGCCTACTTATCTCCCACTCAAACCCACACTGTGTGACAGCAACATTGTCATTGATAGCTGCAATATAAATAAGCTTCAGTCCAAGGCCTGTTGTTGCTCTAAGTGTATCTTAATTACACTGTGTAGTTCTGAGATCAAATTCCCTGGCTTTCAGATAGATCCGTGCAGCCGAGTGACACAGGACACTGAACCAAGGACAACGTTCCCCACAGAAGGACACAGCCTTTGCTGGCCACACCAGGAAAATACTTTCTGGTGATGGAAATAGTCTGGAAGGAGAAACAAAACATGCACACACGCAAAGATGATGGCTTTTTTTGTTTAATCTGACTTAGAATATGCTGAATTGGTTCATTGTTTGCAGAGGAATCTGAGCAGAATTAATGATTCGCACAGGCAGGAAGAGGCTCTGTTTTGCAAATGCAGTGGCCAGACATTCTCCAAGATCTGTAATCTAATTTAGCTTGGAGAGTTAATGATTTTAATGATTTGTTGTGATCTCAAAACAACTGTTAGGAGATAAATCTACATCATTAAACCTATTATGGTGTTTTGCTTCATTTAGCAAATGGTGGGTTTTTGTTCGGAAGACGCCCACTTTTTAAACAAGCAGAGAGGTCAGCTGCTGATGGCAAGGAACAATTTATTCCCAGCTCCCGTGGAGACGGAAACGAAAGGTGTCCTTGGGAAAACAAATAATTCTTCACAAACGTTATCGACTCTTTCACAAACAGAAAGCTGTGGTGTGTGTCATTGCGTGTCTGTTACAAACCAGACAAGAGTTCTGCAAACAGCCACCGAGCTGATGGCTCAGGATCACTTGGTTGAAAATCCAGTTACTTCTCGAGGAATCACTGGGAGCAGAGCTCACTGATGTTTGCTTTAAGGCAATCAGAGAGCAACAGCAAGACAAAGATGTCAACATCAAGAAGCTTTTTAGCAGCTATTTAGCTCTGGATGGGTTTCAAAAGACAGGTCCGCATTCCAAAGCACGGCAGGCCATGAACTGTCCTCCTCCAGGACATCTCCATGGGAAGACAGAGTCCAATGACAAAACCCATGTCCTCTGGCACCTCCCTTCTGCCCTGCACCCCTCCTGCACCCCAAGACCCAATACAAGGAAAACTTTGTGTAAAAACTGATACAAGATTTAGCCCATGAAACATGCATTTAATTCTCTTGAGGCTGACTAATCACACTGTCATCATCTTATAAATATGGTGCATAATCCTTCTCTGCACACAATCAAACAATAATGAATGCCTCATCCCACTGACATGAACAACTGACTCACATCAGCTCTCACATTTTTCACAAAATCAGGCACACAGTTGACGATGAAGCAAGGGCAAAGAAATGAAGCTCTGAGAAGTCATTTCAGCCACATAAGGAAGATGGAGCAAGCATGGTCTCAAAGTCAGCAGCGGGCGTCCAGCCATGGCGAGAGCCCAGGGCATTAAGATGTGTCTGCAGCTCCACTGAAAGGGTGGATTTCAGGCATGGCCTCATTGTGTTTCCCCATCACAAGCTCCCTTCAATCTAGTCTATTAAAAAGCCTTTTATGCTGACTGGGAAGAGGATGTAAGGAAGAGAGGAGGAGGATATATGTTTTCTTACTTTTTGTATGAGTTATTTACACAGCAGAGAGTAAACAACCAGCCTCTTTCCCCTGCAAGTTAGTGAAGTCTATTACAATTTGACTACATTTGCCTAAGCTGAATATTTTATAAATTTAAAATACTATTTAGAGAGAAAAAAACCCACAATCCTGTAAAGAGCAATGACGATTTTCTTGCCCAGCTCCTTTTTAATCCCTGGGCAGGGAGCAACGTTTCAGTTCTTCAGATGTCACTCAGAAATCACTACCATGACTCCTCGCTTTCAGCCTGCCCGGCATGTCTGCTTGCTGCAAAGCAAACACGAGAGATACAGAGGGAGAGAAATGTGTTTGTTTGTTGTGGAAGTTAAGCACCCACTGGGGCCTGAGCACCGTCCTTGGAGCCTTCTAATCCCCTGCACCACATGGAGAGCACAGACTTGTCACTTTAATAATCCAAAGTAAATAAAACCCAAAGAAAATTCCTTTCAGTTCTGTTTATTTTGGGGAAGCTTTTTTCTTCAGCTCTGAAAATAGGGAATGTATTTTATTACCCACTGTGACATCTCAAAAGGCAGCAATTGAACTTAACTGGAAAAGAAAGTCATGTTCTGCCCTTCTGCATTGCTTTCATCCCTGGAGATTTCTATTCCTTATCAAAGGGAGAAGACACGAGGGTCTGGAGCTGCGCAGGCTGCCCCACACCCTGTGTGCTGCTACTCTAAACACGCTTGGAAAAAGCTGTAAAATAGTGGAGATAAGCACCACTTGGGTGGCAACCTGCTGCCTGACGCTGCCTCATGTAAGCCAGGCTCTGAGTCTAAATTAGTTCCTAATTTATACTTGTTAGTCAGTCATATCACTCAGATCAATAAACTCACATCTCTCATTACCAAACCATGACATGGCATATTTCACTAAGTTGTCTGTAGTAATAACAACACCACGAAGTCCACCACTCTCACCACGACGTACACCTCCTGCCATTACAAAAACCTTTAGAGCATCATCTTTCAGAGGGTCCAGCCCCAATCCCAGCACTGCAACGATGGACAATCCTGCATTCAGTATAGAAGAGGAAAATCTGAAAGTCCAAACCAACTAAGGACCTGGGCATTTGTATTCTGCATTGGAGAGAGGGAGTAAATCAATAACCCTTCCAAAGAATGAGAACTTTTCAGACTTGGGTGGGGAAAGTACAGTTCTATTAGGGGGCTGCCTAATTTGAAGCTCAAACCTGTTCTCAGTGCTGACATCAGAGCTAACTCCTTGTGAGCATTTTGGTACAGAAAACATCTGGTATCATACCCTAAGTCAATATATGTAAATGACACTAATATGGTTGAAAATGTGATGGCTTCAGGATGGCTGTATCTGCCCAAGAGAATCA